TTGGCAAACCTTGTTCTACTTGGGGTATGTGACAAGAGAATCGTAATTCACCGCGCTGGTGGGCGTCGCGTGCGACGTCGCGCCGCAAATGACGATGGTTCCAGGTAGTAGATGGCGACAACAGGCAATTCAGAACCGAAAATCCGAAAATAGTCATGAATGTCTACGATGACGGGGTCTACATGAAGTCCGGTGCTCCAATCGACAGGTTAACACGAGTTAAGAAAACGCCGCGCGCGGCGGAGCGGCAAATTACGATTCTCTTGCCCGCCTCCCCACTTGACAACTTCAGGAGAGTTTATAGGTCTTTCCGAGGTGAAGAAACTGAAACAGCTAGCAGGACGCCCTTTCTCCTTCACCAAGAGACGAATAGCGTTTGAACGCTTTCATTCCTGTTGTGATTCCGGTGCACCTTACTTCCTCGATTCTATCTGCTCATCAGTTTTTAATAGAGCGTACTAAATTCTAGTCACTTGTACACTTCCGTTTGTTCTTGGTAACTTATTCTTGATCATTCTTCTTCTTGATCTCTCGAGTTGACACATGATTTGCTTGAACCGTGCTCATACTTTGCAACACGGGTGGGTGGAAATCGGTCAACTCCTTTTCTGCTGATCTCCTCTACTCCCGTGTTGCAAGGTCTGAATGCGATATTGAGGGTACCTTAAGAAATGGTGACTAAAACTTACTAAATTACTAGAAGTTACAACACTGTTTTCAGCGTACATGTCCTCACTATGCCACATCTAGAAGTTACAACATGTTTTCAGCGTACATGTCCTCACCATGCCACATCGAAGTCATTCTCACTGAAAAGGAGGATGTTGTTGCCAAGCCTACCGATGATATCCCAAGAACAAAGAAAGAGTCGAAGAGAAAGCAGAGACGTCAGTTGGCTCGTGGAATTGTTGTTGTTGTTCAGTAAATATTTTGTTTACAAATGTTCATAGGTGGTATTTACTGCTTGACGCATTGCCATTCCTTCCGTCGTGAATGTGTCACATAAGTTCACCGTGAGAACAAAGTTTTTTGCAGTAGGATGTTGCAATGTGGAAGGGTTTTATTATCACTGGGAACAAGGTCGGCAGGTACGGCAATTGTAGCAACCGCCGCAGAAAATGCTGTTGTCCAGACGAGTGGCAAACTTGCACGAAGTTCTAAAGAACAAAGTAGGGAATGCGAATTGGCGGCTGCATTTTACAGAGAGGTAAATCGGAAAGTAAACGGTTTTCATTCAAAGAGGAATAGCACCTACAGTTTTTAGGGAAAACGAAGCGGTCTCAGGAAGCTGATGAAGATCGTGACCAAACAAAAGGAGGTAACTGAGGCCACTAGTAGAGCGGCTGCTTTTGCTGCTGCATTGGCTCTGAAGCTTGTGAGTATCTATCAGTTGTAGACATGTCGGTCCCTTAGTCTTTTTACTTGTTGAACAAGGGTGAAATACAGGAGAAACCGTCGGAAGCGCATGATATGTTGTCACATGCCACAATGACGCCTGCCGTCATTCGACGAAGTTTACTCGTCATCATTCTAGCAGCTGAAGGTTGGTAAACTGTAATGCAGTTCTTAACGTTCTGCCTCGGTAGGGTCGCGTACACACACTCAAAATCCCTGAGATGCGGCAGGCGTGGCTGTGTACCTGAATTGAACGTGGCAGGGGCTAAATGCCAGTGGATCTGAGCTTTTCGTGAGTATTCTCTTCTGGCGAGTTTGTAATCACTGTCTCATTCCAACCAGAACAAGATAGCAGCTATTCTCGAATTGGGAGGTCCACAAAGGCATGCGCCCTATGTCATGTTCCCCACATGCCACACTTCTTCGGTCGAGGGATATAGGTTAGGTGAAGCTTTGCGACATGGGTGATCCGTTCAATACCGGTGGCCGAGAGATCGCCGAAAATCAGTGTCCCTTTGTCTCTGATCCTCCTCTTGAGAGTCGATCAGTGTAACTTTAATGTTTTGGATATCGCGGTTGCCATGTGCGAGGCGAATGGTCCCGCAGTTGCAGTCTTTTTCTCTGGTCAAGTGTGCACGGGAACGAGGTTGTGGGGTCGCAGTACCCGAGTGGCGTCTTCATACTCCGCTAGAGGTGCAGCGCTTGTATTGATCTGAGGATATTGAGGTCTCACACCGAAATACATACTCAGTAGAGAACAATCAGAAGTGAGAGAGCGCAGACAAGTAGCGCGTTGGGGTATGGCTAGACGTATTGCTGAACGCGGGCGGAGTATGAGGTCGGCATCTGAGTACACAACACTGCAGACTTATTCCCGTGCTCTCTTAACCGAAGAAAAGGGCATACTACTGTAGTAGCGAACCCATTCTCCTCATACACGGCAAGGATCAGCAATTCAGGGAGGTGAAAGTACAATTTGTCATTAACTGTTCTTTTCACTGTACTTCGAGATCTAAAAGTCGCGATAATGCACAACCATGAAGTAACGATCTCATAGAACGCTTTGCTCTAGCTAGAACGAACTCGAATAAGGACCTCTCGCTTTCCGAACTAGTGTGCTGACCATAATACCACCTATACCACCTGTTCTCTCAACATTATAACAGCTTGCCATTACAAATGCCTGGTGGCATTATGGTCACCAAGCAGTTGCACGACATCGGGTTATAATGTGAGTATTCATGAGCCTTGACAAATGTCATTTGGGTGATGGCAGAAGGTGGACTTGATTGCATCGGTATATAGGCTCGGAAAGCGTGAAGTCCAGTGCAAGTCCTGGTAGGAAAGAACCGTTTTCCCGGATTCTTGTTGCAACTTCACGAACGGAGTAGTTTGACTTCCCTGAGGTTCTTTCAATTCAGAACGCCTATTAATGCTGATATTTGATAGGCCGCCTTGACGAAGCTATAGATGAAGTCGAGAAATGTCTCCAGGAGGAAGGACGTGATTTTTAACTCAGAAAACAGCTGTATAAGTGACGAAGCAGTGAGTTTTGTTTCTGCTGTTTGGTGCTTTTGCTACTACAACTAACAAGGGAGGTCGTTCAGAGCGTGGTGCGCTTCTCGAAAACGG